AAAAAAAAAAAAGACACTAAAATTTAACCCCAACTAATCATGCACAAAGCAGAGGTTTAAACTTTAAACTCAATCTATAAAAGGGGTCCGAAGTTGATAACAAAAGAACACAACCTAAAACCCAAAGATGGGAACCAAACCTAAAATGGCTCCTTTTGTTGCCACTCTCTTCTTAGTGGCAATTCTTGCACTTTGCTTCCCATCGATAGCCAATGCAAACTACCAGTACTCGTCTCCACCACCGCCGGAGAAATACACTCCGCCCTATGTGTACAAGTCATCACCTCCGCCGCCACCTAAGAAATCTCCGCCACCTCCACTAGTCCACAAGCACCCTCCGTACGTGTACAAATCACCACCACCACCACCACCGCTGTCGCCGCATAAGAAGTCTCCGCCACCACCGCCTGTTCACAAGCCTCCACCGTACGTTTACAAGTTTCCACCACCACCACCTCCTAAGAAGTCTCCACCACCACCGCCAGTCCACAAACACCCACCGTACGTTTACAAGTCACCGCCTCCACCGCCACCTAAGAAATCTCCATCACCACCGCCAGTCCACAAACATCCACCGTACGTTTACAAGTCACCACCTCCACCACCGCCAAAGAAATCTCCACCACCACCGCCCGTCTACAAGCCTCCACCATACGTTTACAAGTCTCCCCCACCTCCACCGCCAAAGAAATCTTCACCACCGCCGCCAGTCCACAAACATCCACCGTATGTTTACAAGTCACCGCCTCCACCGCCACCTAAGAAATCCCCACCACCACCGCCAGTCCACAAACATCCACCGTACGTTTACAAGTCTCCACCTCCACCGCCACCTAAGAAATCTCCACCACCACCGCCAGTCCACAAACATCCACCGTACGTTTACAAGTCTCCACCTCCACCGCCACCTAAGAAATCTCCGCCCCCACCGCCTGTCCACAAGCCTCCAGTACGTTTACAAGTCTCCACCTCCACCGCCACCTAAGAAATCTCCGCCCCCACCGCCTGTCCACAAGCCTCCACCGTACGTTTACAAGTCTCCACCTCCACCGCCACCTAAAAAATCTCCACCACCACCGCTAGTTCACAAACATCCACCGTACGTTTACAAGTCTCCACCTCCACCGCCACCTAAGAAATCTCCGCCCCCACCGCCTGTCCACAAGCCTCCACCGTACGTTTACAAGTCTCCACCTCCACCGCCACCTAAGAAATCTCCGCCGCCACCGCCTGTCCACAAGCCTCCACCGTACGTGTACAAGTCACCACCTCCACCGCCACCTAAGAAATCTCCGCCGCCACCGCCTGTTCACAAGCCTCCACCATACGTGTACAAGTCACCACCACCACCGCCAGTCCACAAACATCCACCGTACGTTTACAAGTCACCACCACCACCGCCACCTAAAAAATCTCCACCACCACCGCTAGTTCACAAACATCCACCGTACGTCTACAAGTCACCGCCTCCACCACCGCCAAAGAAGTCTCCACCACCACCTCTGCCTCCCGTCAAGAAGTCCCCTCCACACCACCCTTACTACTACAACTCTCCTCCTCCTCCACCTCACCACTACTAGGAAATCAAGCTACTTCAACTTTCCATGTAAGCTACTTCAACATGATTAATTTTTAATCGGTCAATAATTAATTTGTTAGTAATGATGCAGGAAATCAAGGAGAATGTCCGAAATTAAGAAGAAGAAGAAGAAGAAAAAGTTGGATGGAGCTGAAAGAGATGAGTTCTTTTTGCAGAATGAAAGCGATGGATCCATGCAAATGAAGACAATGAACAGACAAAAATTACATATTTTGTGCAATAATAATAATAATAATAATAAATAATCTGGACAATCTCTCCTTTTAATTTGTGCATGTTTGTGTTTTCTTATAGTTAGCGTGTTTGAACTGTCCCACTCTTATCAGCATGCTTTTCAGAAAGTTTGCTCAATTCAATAAAATTCCCAATTTCTGTACATGAATCTCTCTTACATATGTTTCGCTTAATTAATTTGTGCAATTGTACTTATATTTATTAATTAAATAAAATACAATTCTTAAAATCTAAACTTAATTAATCACTACAAGACAGTAATCAAGTTTCAACAAAAAAAAGTACCTAATTAAGTGTAACATATTTTATTAGAATTATATACAACCACAATTCCAATAATCAAATTCCAACATAAAATATCAGTTGTAATATATTTCAACTAGATTACAATAATATAGCAACAAATATTACAATTTTATAAATTTTGTTACAATTTTTCGATGAATTTTGACGATTCTAAAGATAATTTTTTTTTTTT